ATTCGAACCACCCGAGTCAGTCGATAATTTGACAAATCACGGGTAATTTTTGTATCTAAAATCATGACTCATCGAGTCAACTTACATATTATTTAGCAATATAAAATATATAACTGAATATAAAAAGTAATCTAATTTTATTAATATAAAAAACAATATATTTACGTACTTTATTTATATGTGGATCTAATCAGTACATACCTCATATACATCTTATGTTAGATAAACTTTTCAGACTTCAAAGTCGTGTGTTTCAGTAAAATCGCATGAAATTGTTTGTTACTCAAAAAAAGACTGAAAATTTTTTTGAATTATACAGATCAAAATTTTGAATTATGCTAATATAAAAAGCTACTTTAATTTAAAGTTTCAATTCATCGATTTTCAGTCCATAATATAAAAATTACTCTAAAATTTTGTGAGGCTCCAAAAAAAGATTATCTTTTTTTTAATTAGACAATATATTGTAATTCCAAAACAAATTGGCACTAACATAAAAGCCACTCTAATTTAAAGTTCAATTCAATTATCGTTATAGAAATTACATGATTTTCATACAGTTTACTTTATCAATATATTTAACAATTGCGATTTCAAGAATGAAAACCTGATTACATGTATGATAAAATTAACGTATATAAATCAAGTCACCATAATTAACCATATTAAAAAAACCTGTTCTTATTGTATGAAATTATGATAAATAAACTGTATCACTAATACAAATTATGTTAACGCGTAAAGGTAAACTTCTTAATTAATTTATGTGCATGATATTTTACTTTGTAAAGGCAAAGCATTTTTAATACTAACATCGTAAAATTTTATTTTGCTCTAAAAAAAGACCGAAAATACTAACTGTTCATAAATTTACTAAGAGATGAATTATCGATTTTTTTGTATTCCGAAAATATAATAATATAAAAACTACTTTAATTTAAAGTTTAATTCATTAAATTGTATCAACAAATTTATATAATATATTATTATAAAATCTACCAAATTTATATCGAATATCACGTGAAAATGAAAGATCAGTGTAGGATCACGTGAAGAGAAATTGCTAACATAATTTTCAAAATCATTATACGAAAGACCTAAAGAAGTTAAACTAATAGTTGCATCTGCTAACTTTTCCACCATAGGATCCAGCTTTTTCAATGAAAAAATGTCAATTCTTTGTGGTGCTCCTTTTTTAATAACTGTAACACATATTTATTAACATATATGGTTATAAAGGAAAGATGTTAAATCTATTTCAGATTCTTTTTCAGATTCTGTAACAGTATAAGAACGACTAATACACTAATTTGATATAATCATCAACATTTAAAACAATCGTCTTAATAAAATATTGTACTGATACCTAACATTGATTCTAAATCCTTGATCCTATTTTTTAAAAGGGTAATATGTGAATAAAGGTCGCTTTCTCTTTCATCTCTACTTCTAAGTTCGCGTTCATGCTTTGCTACGAAAGAATTATATTTTCTTTTCTCATCAGCTATTTTAGATTCCGCATCATGCAACTACAAAAATCCAAATAAAAAAATTTATTAGAAATAATTTAAAAAGTATAGAAAATATTAAAATTATTAAAATTTACTTTTGTTGCGTTTTGAATACTTTCAGCATCTATCATTTTACAATTAGATCTTAATATTCCGATATCACTCGTTAATTTTGCAATCTATTATTAAAAATATAAAAATATATTAAACAATAATTTTCACTTCTTATACTTCTTATTGAATACAAAAAATTTACTTGAGCTTCTAAGTCATTGATCAATTTAATCCTTTCTTCATTGACCAAGTTTAGATCCGCGACTTTTCTTGTCAAGTTATCAATATCTGTATCCTTTTGGACAATTTCAGTTTTCATCAGTAAGTATTGGGAATGCAAATCTAAACCTGCGTCGCTTTCTTGTTCTAGCGGTTCAAGTTTATTAAGTTTATTTTTAACATCTCTAAGCTCTTCTTTAAGTTGTTTGAGTTCTTCGCGTAAACTAGATAAAGCAATAGATAATAAGTAATTAATAATAACTTAAAAAAATGCAAAGAATAAATAAAAACACCATTTGATTTCGTCATCGCTCTTTTTTTTTATACTATTAAAATCTGAATAAATCGATTGAAAAAAGGAAAGATCATCCTCATTCGCTGTTCTAGCAGATTCTTTCAATTTGTTGAACCATTGAATTTTATCGTCAAAAATTAATTCGTCTTCTTTGGGTGCATTGCGTTTTTGACTACGGAGAATCCTCAAATATCCATCAATTTGTTTAATAAGGTGGGACCTATTATATAATCTATCATTTCTTCTGTCTTGTCTAGTTCGATTATCTTGATATTGAACATTTTGATTTCTCTTTCCATTAACTTGTAGTTTTAATATGCTTAATGTTGTATTATGTATCCTTTTGACATGTCCATGTATATCTTTATAATGTAAACCGCATTTAGGGCATCTTGGATTTCCACTTGATTTACCTCTATTTTGTGGAGCCATGGTATTTTTTCAGTTATTTAGTACTATTTAGGACTATTTATATCATATTTCAAAATCTTCTAAAAAGGGACCTTAGAAAATAATATAAAAGCCGTTTAATTTAAAGTTCCCGTATTAATTATGTATTTTTACTTTACCAATATTTACAATTTAAAACGAACATATATAAAAAACTTCAATGAATACTAGACATTTAATGTAATGATGTTGACCGAACATTGAACGGATAACATAAATAAATTATAAATTATTATAAACCCGATGGATATTAAAGTAATTATTTATGTTAATGCAATGAACAGATAATATAAATAATCTGTATATTATAATAAATAATCTATGGAACATTACTAAACACATCAGGTGTGGGATTAGTCGACTATTTTAGAAATCCAAGTTGTATAAATGTGTTGATCAAAATCAATCAACTACTTACTTCTACGCTAATCAATCGAAC